TTCTTCCCATTTAGACGATAGGAAGGTTGCATGCTTTGAAGGTCACCTCGTCCTTGGTGTACCATCGATTCCTCGGTTTGATCAACACTTTGAGAGGAGTTGATTTCTGACATTGGAAAGCAATTAAGGCTTCCTAGAAATTTCTTTGTTCGACAATAAAGGTCGAAAGGTAAGAGTTTTTTTTTTTGTTTGGACTTGCCAAAAAAGGCCGAGCCTCTTAAACGGCACGGGTCCGGCTCCTCCACCGAGCGGGATTGGGAAAGAGCAGATGGACCGAGATGGATCGCGGCTCTTCCACTCGATCGACAGGAACCGCGAAGGATCGGGCTTCCGTTCCCTTCACGTTCGGCTTCGTCGCTTCGCCGGGGTGCAGAACTTGCCCGAGTCGCTTCTTTGGCTCCTTCGTTGCTGTTCGACAATCCTCCTACAACTCCTGTGCTTCCTGTCGGATCGGAAGTTTGGAACGGTGCTTCGGCACGTCTCAACTTCCGATTTCAGTGTGCGGGGAAATTCTGCGATCGGGAGGACTTGCGATAGGAAGGGAAGAGACGAGTGGGTTGCTTCGCTCCTTCGTCGTCTTTCCCTTTCTGACGGATCGTTCTGCTTTCTTCCTTCGACGACTTCGATCTTCCTCTTGGATCGGAAGTGAAGTTCCGATCGAAGCGGCTCAGTCTTGTTTCGTCGGGGCGTACACGGGTCGGCAACGATCACGTCCGAGCTTCTCCTTTTCTCTTCCTCCTCCTACGATCTAGGATCGTTCTTCGACGGCAATTAAGGCCGTTGGCTCTGATACCATGTTAAAACGAAGAATTTGGGAAGGAAAAGCTTGAATTTTTATTAAGCAATATACTCCCTATTTATAGATCTATACAAGGTGTATCGATAAGGAAACAAATAACTCTTATAATAACATGAATACAATTATTCCTAAATTAATGGGAGGAATTAATGCAATCCATGTAGTCTTCCCACGGATTACTGTTCACAGCCGTGGATATCTTTGGGATCGTAAGGTTGAGATTTAACAATAATAGATATATGATAAAAACTTAAAGTGTAAAACCCGAAAATCATGAAAACGTCGAACAATCACGTCGCGACAAAATTAGGCGAATTGTCAAAGTTGTCGGAATTTGACGCAATCAATTTTATAAAATTCTACGCGAAATTTCAAGCGATTTGGTACAAAGAACTTATACTTAATTTCGCACGAATTTAAAATTAAAAATTGACGAAGATTAGTTAAGGATAAATTACTTAATAGTTCATCTTAATTCTTAAGAGAAATTAGGGAATGAAGGGTACATGCATAATTTGAATACCTCCTAACAATGTTGACAAAATGTGCATGCATAGGAGAAAGAGAGAGATGTTAGGAAGAGGAGTCATCAATGGCAGAAGTTTGTTATAAAGAAATGAAAATAAAATTGGGAGAGGCACATAAGTAAGGTATTTTTTGCCTATGTACGTGGTTTGAGAGGGGCCACCATTTATATCCTGAGAATTTAGATTCTGCGAGAGAAAAACATCCCCTTGATGTATTTCTTTTTTAATAAAAACTTCGTTTATTATTATTATTCTTATTATTATTATTATTATTATTATTATTAGCAGTAGTATTATTTTATTACTGCTCATGCTTGCTATTATTTAGGAATATTTGTGTGTACAAACTCTCCAATAAATTTATTGTCATGTGTGTGGTGAATTTTTGTCCTCCTCTTATTAGGAAATCAAGCAATACAGGAGGCGATGGAGCCATCATCAAACCATTTGAGCATTTTGGATGCACCGAAGTTGTCTGTTCTATGAAATGGGCAATAGTTTTGAACACTTTATGTTGATTTCCCTTGCAGTTGTATATATCCTCCACCACCGTCATTGCATTTGATCTCATTAGGCCTAGGAACACACATGAAGGTCAACAATTAATTTCTTTGAGTAAGACTAATATGCCCTCTTATAATATTATGGAAATAATCATCTTATGCCCTCTTGTTGTTTGTTGTTTTGTTGTAGTAACTCTCTATAGGAAATTTTTTGCTATGAAAAAACCTGAGCATTTATTTGACAAAAATTGTTGGCAGAATAACATCTCTCAAATAAAATATGAAGATACAACTACTTTGGACTTCACACGCAAAAAATTGAAGTGGGAGTCACTTCACTTCTTCCCAAAATGATGAAGAGGAAGTATACTTTATTTTTTATTACTTTCTTGATTTTGTGCATAGCATAGTTATATTATTTGTTTCAAGGAACCAAAAGTAAAAATGGTCCATAAAATGGTCCATATGTGGCAGCAAATTTTGAAATATTTCAGCAACATGCTTATTCTAGCAACTACCAAAAGAAGGCCTCAAAAGCACAAAAAATATATCCACATCCTCGACAGTCAAACCATAAAACTAACATTTGCAACATTACTTTATCCATGATCATTTTACAATTTAAATTTTACCATCTCCAAATACAGGGTAAAATAAACAGATCACCAAAAACACATATTAAATACCTGAGCATGACTAACAATCTCTCCACAAACAGCATATTCACATTTCAACACCTGAATAATTTAAGAAATGTCTAGATAAAAATCATGAGCCACAAGAACGGGTAAAGAACAAATTTCATTAAACATACTATGTAAGAAACATGTGGATTAAAAAAGAATTTTCATAGTTGAGAGGTGCGCTATATTGATAAGAACAAGAAATGCAATAGAATGCAATTTCTAACAATAACTTATGCATAAAAAGGTCTTCAAAACAACAAACATGAAATTTTCTATGCAAAACTTATTTGATTAGCATGAATTTGAAGGTGATCATTAATCTTGAAGTGCTGATTGAATGTCAAATGAATATGCTTAAAGGGAACTTGATGCACATTGCAAGGAAGGGTAAACCCACTTTTACCAAAGGGTACTCTCATTTTTCCAAGTAACTAAATAAAAATTGATGCAAATCTTAATGTATTCCCATATCTTGGAGTTGTTTAAATCACAAATTCTACTAATTTTAAAGTACTTAAATTTAGACCTAATTTACAAAAGATAATTATTGAAATCAAAATAGAAAACATTGTTATTTTCTCTTCATCCTCTCGATTACAATCATATTGTAGACTCCCCTATCACGTAGCCTTCCAGCATTACACCCTCACTAATTGGCAACCCAAAAAACATGGCAATTGTAATAACATGAGACCAGCCAAATGAAAAAATATATATCATAGCGGTCACTTAGCAGCCTGTGTGGTGGAGGACGCATAGCAATATTTGGGAATGCGGCTCCACCCCCTCACCATTAGGAGGGTCCTTGAAGGTGGTCACGACAATTTGATACGATCAACACAATAGTTATAGCTTTAGTACTTTCCATTGCAGTGAAATAAGCTCCCCCTTCCTCATTTCCCACTTCTCGAAGATGATGCCTCCGTTCGAGTGGACATTTATTTATAAACTTCCGTTATTAAAAAGAACAAAGTGGTGAGAGTTATTTATAAACTTCCGTTAATAAATACAGAAGTGCTCGTAAATCGTTCTTCTTCTTCTTCTTTTTCCTCCTCCCAACAATATACCAAAGCCTAGAGTACAAACAAGAAGCACAGGCTTAGCCAGAAATCAAAATGGCATTCTGATGAGGAGAACCGAAGTAAATATCGTAAAGGGAAAGGAAATAGAAAGTTTGTATCGCGGCAAAGTTAGTCCGAAGTAAACAGAATGCACGGCTAATTTTTTATTTTATCGCCCTCTCGCTTTCTCGTAAAATTTATGCAGTCCATTTAGCTGCATTTATTTCAGAAATTTTATTCCCACTGCAGAGTATAGGTGGCAAACCAGACAGCATCTAAATCATGATAACCCATACTGGAAATCCTTCAAAAAAATCGATAATATAAATTTGCTAAATAGGATGAACCTTGATAGATTCAGCTTAGACGCACCTTAGGGTTGATGGAAGCGAGGGTGACAGCGGAAGACGATGTAGTAGACATAGCGGCGGCGAAGGAGGGAATGGAAGTGAGGAGTGACGAAGAAAGCGACAACACAAAAGCGGGGGTTTGGAGCGCAAGAAAGAAGCAGAGAAGTAGCTTTTTCAGCTTGTAAACACCGTATCGCCGCGCAACAATGCCGAACGCAGAGATGGAGGGCTATATGCATTTTACTCTGTTTTGAGTCAAACTGGAAATTTGAGAGAACTTAGAACAAGTTGAAGCGGCTGTTTGTTAGCAGGATTTCCCTTAAATATAATGATTTGGTGATATCCTCTAACAATTCAAGTGATATAATGGTTGAGAGTTATAAGGAGTTATTATTGTGTCGACGAGTAAGAAATTACAACTAAGGCTGCAAGCAAACCAAGCTGTTCGACGAGCTACTCGTTGTTCGGTTCGATTAAAGCTCATTTGTGATCGTTTAATTAATTAAACAAACAAACTTGAACAATATTTTAAATACTCGATTCTTAAATAAACAAACTTGAACACTAATGCGTTCGGCTCATTTATGTTCATGAACAACATTATTTGACGTTCGTGAACAAGCTCGACATTAAGCTCGATGGGATTTGCTTATAAATCATTGCCTTTATTACATAGCTTATAATGTGTTTGTTCATAGATATGTTTATGAACGGATTTGTTTGATAGTTAAAAATAATTGTTAAATATGTTCGTAAACATGCTTGATGTAATCGTTTGTTAGGAAGCTCGATAAAGCTCGTTTGTTAAGTTAATGAACATCTAAAAGTAGAGCTCGTTTATAGTTTATTCATGTTTGTTTGTTTAAAGCTCGATAAGCACTAAATGAACAAACATGAACTGAACATGAACACTCATTAATTTAAATGAATCAAACATAAACACAAACAATAAAGCTCGAACAAACATGAACCAAACTTGAACAACCTGATATTAAATGAACACAAACATGAACACTCACATACTCGGCTCGGCTCTGTTCGTTTGCAGCCCTAATTACGACTCTATTTACTTAGTCAATGGTTACTAACTACCAATGACTAAATATTAAAAAACATTGTGATTCTCATAACTACTTACTTGTTGAATAATATTAAGTATAATTATTGAAATGCATGCTACCGATTCATTGTTATTGTTCAACCTAATAGTTACTACATTGATTTGTAATTATTATACTGCTACCATTACATTTTTTTAATATTATTGCCACCAATTTTACATATATTGATATTGTTACTGCTACTGATTCACTATCATTGTTGATGTTATTGATTCACCATTTACTAATATACTCATAATGAGCATGTGATTCTTATACTGAGCATTTGATATAAGATATTGATTGGATAACGATACATAATATTTGGACTTCATGTGTGCACTGATTTTTGTTGTAATGCATGGTTATGGATTATAATAGTTTTATTGTCAACATGATTTCCTCAATGTTTATTTGATTTTATCTTCATACCGAGTAATTGATTTAATGATTTACTAGTTTGTTGGTATCGATTTTACTTATTTTCGTACTAGATTGTTCTACTAATTAACATATTTTACTATTTCTGCACTGCACAGATTCATGATTATGATGATTATTATTATTATGAATTAATTGACGACATGCATATTGTTTATTTATCATGCTTTGAAATAAGTTGTTGTTGTTAGTTGTCACAACCCAACCGACCATGATAGCTCCCATCGTGTTGAGTTGTAACAGACAAATCACAAGATCTAGTTTTGAAATTATTTCAGATTTTATGTCAATATTCATTGAAATAAACTGCATAGCTGATAAAATATTCAAATACTGAAAATAAACTCATGCACAAAGTTTCTTTCATTTCATCAAAATAAATATCTACACTATAATATATGGTTACATGCAAGAGATGTAGAACTAAAAAAATAACTAATCATGACTACACAAAATTCAAAATAGCAAAATACCTATAATCTCAAATCTAATCATGAACTGCTAGTGCACAATCTCCTTTCCCTTATAAAATCTTAAAAATGAAAAGCAAAATCATAAAGATATACAACAGCTCAACATGCCACACAAATCAATCTAAATTTATAAATATTATTTGAACAAAAATATTGTTGAATATTTAAAAACAATTAAATGTAGTTTAAATAAATAAGTATACTAAGAGATGTAATAAATGCATAACAACTATTCTCTAATTTAAATAGTTATGGCCAACAAATAAATAAATTGAAACTCATATCACACATTTGTTCATATCCCATTTCTCGTTCCTAGATAGAACCTTAATGGATTCTGATCCCTAACAAATCTCATTTTGTTTGAGCGTATAACACCAGAATATATCATATATTCATATCTTAAACAAAATCCCAAAGGATTCGGACTCCTATAGCTCCCATCAGTTTCTTGACACAGATGAAATCTAAGCAGATTTGCCCCTTATAGCTCCCAATATACATAATTTAATCATATATGCACAAATATCATCAAATTATAACAATTAAAAAGTAATTGAGCATGTATCAAAACTGCATAATGTTGTATAATGATAGACAACAGAAAATCATAATAGATAAAAATGCAATTTTTTTGAAAATTATCAAAATATCATGGATTGTGTAATATGATGTTTTAAGATTTTTATTGTACTACATCATTATTTTTCAACATCTAGATAATTTTATATTCAATAAAAACCCTACAAATTTTAAAACTCTAATTGTAAAATTTATAGAAAATATTAAAAATGTGCATAATCATAATTTTTTATAATATATAAAATGTTATGTGGTGATTGTTTTACCAATGCAACATTTTTCACAAACAGAAACGAAATTTTAATAGAAAAATTCACTAAATATTGTGCATTTTTAAAAAATGAGAAGGGAATAATGTGACTTACCTTGAGACGAACACGTCTCCCAAACGATTAAGACTCATTCTGGAACACATACAATTTTTTTCAATTATTAAACAACTTCAAACACATGCAGATGAGTTCAAAACTCAAAGTTTAAACATTCACCTTTTTAACCAATCGAGTCACAATAGGTCAATCTAGATGCTGAACTTGGAGGCATCACACAATGCCACAGCACCGACATTTATAGCATCGTGGCACTCCAATGGAATTTTTGTTATTTATGATTGTTTCATCCCTTTCTCTTTCTAATCATTTTTGAAATTAATAAGACAATACATAGCTCATAATTGACGACTAAATCAATATTAAACAAGAATTTATACAAGATCATGTTAATTACCTAGACTAAAAATTTGTGAATGTTACATGGGGACTACAAGTAATGAAATAGATGCACTTACTTCGTCATCAATGTTAAACCAGAGTAAGACACATGAGTCTCGAGATGGAATGACAACACTACCTCTAATGTCAACATTCATGGCGACCATGTCCTCCTACTTAAAATATTTAAAAATATTTTTAATCATCTCAAATGTGCACGTTGCTCCATCAAAAACATTGAAGGAAAAAACTTAAGCTACATGATCCCATAATCCCTCAAAGACATTTCAAGCTAGTGAAACCTATCATGATAAGGAAGTCCCTTGCAAACAAGAGTTTCTCACGAAAGCATATCAACAATTATCATTCCTTTTAGGAAATCTCAACTCCACAAAAATTTTAAATTAAAAATCTTAAGAACTTATTATGACATTTATTATTGAATTTGGTGTTTAAAGTTCTAATATAGCATATAAGGTTCATTTAGTTCATAATTTATTTATTTTTTAAAAATGAATAAAAATAAATTTAAATTATTATTATTAATTATTTTGAAATGATGACAGTTTTCTAATAATAATTCCTAGGCCATGTTAATCTACATTATTTGATAAATTTCTAAATACTTTGTGCAGTAATTTAAATTTTATTTGGAAAATAATTTGATAAGAGAATTATTAATAATTTCAAAAAATTTACATAATGATAATTTAATCATAAAAAATAATTAACCAAAATCATGTGCGTCAGATAAAGCAAAATACCTTTCCTGCACCTCACAGTGGCAAAGGCTCATCCCTCTTTTGTGCAGTCGCCTGCGCCACTCCCGCCAATCCATCATGGCCAAATGCATCTCTTCCTCCATTCTCTTCGCTCCTTCCTCTTCGTCAACCCGAACCCTCAAACCCTCCCCCCTCCACTTCCAAACCCCTAAACGCTCACTCCTCTCAATGCTCTCTCCCCGTCCTCGAAACCCCTTTTCCGTCTTCATCCGCGCCACCGTCGCGATCGAGAAGGAAACCCCAGAAAACGAGCGCCCTGATACATTCCTCAGGGCCACCGATGATCCTCATTCCTCCGCCGCCGCGTCACCTAACTCCGTCCGTGCGCGGTTCGAGAAGATGATAAGAGAAGCGCAGGACGAGGTATGCGCCGCGATCGAGGCCGAGGACGGAGTGGGAAAGTTTACGGAGGACGTCTGGTCGAGAGCCGGCGGTGGCGGGGGAATAAGCCGGGTGTTACAGGAGGGCGGAGTTTGGGAGAAGGCTGGGGTCAATGTGTCAGTCGTATACGGGATGATGCCTCCGGAAGCGTATAGGGCGGCGAAGGGTGGTGATTCTTTGGAGAAGCCGGGGCCAGTGCCTTTCTTTGCGGCTGGGATTAGTTCGGTTTGTGACTTCGAATCTCATATTTCGCTGGGATTGGTGTGGTGCATTTTAGATAGGAAAAATGGTTTCTAAGCTGTTTCTATGTGAATATCTAGTCTGTTCTTCAGTATAAGTTTGCAGGATTAGGTGTAGCATATACGTGCATTTGTGATTTACCTCATTTACTTGTAAGATGAATGCTATTTTATTTATTTCTGCTCTCTACAGTCTGCTCTTCAACTAAACAATAGAAACATGCTAGCATATTTCTTCCCTATCTCGCTATCACTTCTAAATTATTTGCCACCAAATTGAATCATCGTAATTATCATCATTAATCGCATCTCAACTATTTTTGGCCGAATACTACTTGATTGAATCTACAGTTATAATATTGGTGCCAATTGTTTTCATATATTGTGCAATTGATGCAAGTTCTCTCTTTTTGCATTAATGTACTAAAAGTGTGGTTTGATTTTTAGGTATTGCATCCAAATAATCCTTTTGCACCAACGTTGCATTTCAATTATCGTTATTTTGAGACAGATGCTCCAAAAGGTATATATTGCAAATTTATTTTTTGCATGTACTTTTTTCCTTTATAATTTTATTCCATTCCTTTTTAAAATTATTTAAATTATGCAAAACTTATTTGGCTAGAACCTGATCTCTAGAAGGGTGTTTATTGCCGGTTACATGTCATCAGGGTTGGGTGGTTTTATTATTATTATTTTAAATAATTGTTGTGAATCAGCATGACAACATGCAAGTGTCTTGCAAACTAGAAGCTACACATAATACCTTATGCCAGAAATGTAGGAGAAACCCTTTAATTTAGTGGCCAGTGTTACTAGAGGGATGCTCTATTTAGTTTTTATCCCGTTTGATTTACATTTAATCACTTGCTTTGGATGTCCCTAGAATTTAATAGCATATTGTCGTTTGACGATCCTTGATGCCTATAAATGAAGCATAGTACCTGAGGGACACAACCCTTGAATCTAGAAACTTCAATAAGAAGTAACACATATGTTAGTTTTAGTTGAATATATCTATATTCATTCACATATAGATAAAATGTAGGTAGGTAGAAACACGCGCGCTTGTGTGTGTATGTGTGTATCGTGCATTAACTCCTAAAATGTGAAATAAATGAGTCATGTTTGAGTGAACTTGGAACTATTCAAGCTTGGTTTGACCTACAACATATTTGGAAGAGGAAGGGGAGGGGAGGGGAGAGGAGGGGTGTTGCAACAAGGTTCTCCATTGTTTTACTGAATCTTGAAAATAATGGATCAAATGATGAATTGGAGATTACTTTCTCTATTTGATGACAATGGAGGAGGAGGAGCTAAGTTTGATGATAACATATTTTTGCATGACGTGGTAGCATGAATCTATTGCTATGGCCTAGAAGTGCTTGGTTAATGGGCTAATGGTAATATCTCTTCATGGGAGAAGAGTATGAAAAAGTGATGTGGTGATACCTTCTTAGTGGGCATTTCTATGGAGTTTTGCTATGAGTTATCCAGGGAAGGAAGACAAGGTGTTACTCTCCTAAATGGAAAAATTGATGTAGATTTTTCATCATTGACAATAGACTTAGTTTCACTGAAATCCAATATTTGAGGCTTGATCAATTGACATTGTTTTTTAACAAATATATTTGTTGGTTTTGCCAAGTTTAGGCATAACCTTGGCCTTCATCTCTAAAATGTATTATTGAGATGTATTTTTTTAGTTAAATGAATTTGAAGTGATATATAGTTATACACCGATTCTCCAATTTCTTTATTTATCATTGGAAGGAGCAGAGCCTATTAGCCCCAGTCCACCTACTTTCTTTAGTCATCTATATAGGGTTAAGTTATGATGAAAACTTGTGGAACACTTTTCAAACTCATCAAAATAAAACTTCTGAAAAAAACATCTTTCTTGACATTTTGATTTGATCAATTTCATAAACTCAATTAAAGCCATATGAAAGATTTGTGCTACTCAATGCTTTAAAGGTGGATGCATTAGGCAGGATATTTTATGTTATCATAGGATGTGGCACAAGCTTGGAGCCTTGGAGGCATATGGTGCTCCATGAATTTATATTTTTAAAATTTTTTAATATAAAAAGTATGATTAAAATCAGAGTTTTTACATCTAAACCAATTTTTATAACAAATCTTTTTTTGCACATTTTGATTCCACCGCTAACTGTTTTTACTATTAGTAGCTTTTTCCTTTGATACACCAAACACATTCTTTTGCAATATTCTTAACATCAGTAACTATTTTCTCCCACATAACACTTACTTCCTCATGCACATACAAAATCTTAAGATCTATAATCATACTCTAAAAAATATTTTTGTTAATATTTTTAAATGCCCTCATTTAATCCTAGAATAACATTATTTTATTTTTTATTTTCTGCCACTTCATCTTAAAGTCTAAAACTAATAATCAATGTTGAATACATAAACTTTATATTGGAATAATTTTACAATCTAAATGATATATTTTTCTTATAAGGAAATAATCCATCTAAGTTTTACTATTTCCATTCTCATAAGTGATGAGATGCGTATATTCTGTCTTAAATAAGATATTAGGAATTACAAAATCATAAGCTAAAAAAAATCTAATATAGTTTTACCACCTTCATTAATCGCTCCAAACTCATATCCACCATGATTGCTTTTAAATTCATCTATCTCTCTGCCAACATGTCTAGTATAAAATCTCTAAAAGATATCACATATATAAAAACATGTCTGTTGATTGCATAATTGATATTCATATACAACATTTCATCCCTTGATTATTACTTATGATTTAAAGACCTTATTCATGGATCTTATGAAAGCACTAGGTGTGATTAACACTGCAAAAGGCATAAGACCATTCATGAGGTCCATAAAGTGTTTTGAATGATTTCTTCCACTTATCTTGGGGATTTGGCTGAATTTAATTGTTCTTTCTGCAAGGGTAAATATTTGAAAAGCTCATTGACCTATATAACATGTCAAGCATGTCATCTTGTCTATGTATATGATACGTGTATGTTATAGTGATCTTATTGATTGTAAGACATTACCGCACATATACTAAGAATCATCTTCCTTTCATGTGAAATGTGCTGAGACGAAAACATGGGCTCATACCCTCATAATAATCACTTATGTACCCATCTAGTTTAGGTTGAACTCAATATGCTTTAGTTGGGTTTATTCTATAAATGTTATGAACCTGGTGAGATGTTTATAATGACTTGAATATCTCTCATATGAAAGAGCCCATAAGAATATCTTGAAACTAAAAGTATAAGGTTTATACCATAACGTGTATGTAGTCCTCTGAGATAGGAGAGCAAATCATGCATGACCAATTAAAAAGTGCACAATTGTTTCAACAATAGTGCTCAAGTAGTCTCTTTAGCCATAAAACGATGGAGTAGAAGTTTAGTGCTATATAACATGAGTAATTGGGACTTTATGCCAATGCGTTAGATGGTTTGATAGACTTGGAAGCAAATGTTAAGTTAGGTTAATTTAAGTGTTGGCCAAGAGCCTAGATAGTTCGACCAAAGGCACATGCTTACTATGGTTGTCTAAATAACTAGATGAAGCTATACCTTAGCCTTAGAAGCTTGGATAAAAGTTGTATTTGTACTAAATCTAGGCTTTCATGGTGGTTGCCTAGATGAAGACTCAATAGGTCTAGTGTGTACAAATGAATTGAGGTGTCATTAAACTTAGTGCTATAATTTGATAATGGGTAAGGATGTTTGGCCCACTAAAGGCAACTTGAAAGGAGTTGGATGTGGCAAAACATCAAGCAAGTTTGCTTTAAAGATAAAATTCATGGCATCCCTACCATCAATAACTAATTTGCTCATCTTGTTATTATAAGTTACATATATTTGAAATACATTATTACGTTTTCATTCCTTGATAGTGTATGTTGATAAAAATGCTGCATATAACATACAATTTTGTAGAATTGTCATAAAAAATTTAAAGTCCTCAGTCAAGTGTTCATCATTTATCACATTTTGGAACTCGCCTTTTTTGGGGTCAAAGGAATCAAAATTCCTTTGATTCATCAAAAAACTAATTTGTAGATATTGTTTTATGGTATGACTCTTCTTGAGACTTTTAAATAAGTGGTCATAAGATATAATCAATGTACTACATTGTTGTGGTGTAAATTGAGGCTTATAAATCATACCTTGATCGTTTGACCGTTTAAGGATAATGGTTGACCTAGGATGAAACCTAGAGTTTTCAATTTGAGTGGAAATATCGATGGTCAACTAGAAGATGCTGTATTGGCTCCGTTTTGTGCTAATAATTAATCTACTCTTTATGTTAAGGTTGTGATGACAATCTCTATACTAGTTTTTCTTTGCCTAACTTCATTTGTTAGTGAGATGACTTTTTTTTTTGAAACTAATGAGATGACTTCTTGATTTCTACCAGTTAGCTATTGTTTATATGCTTCTTTAATTGATTAATTTGGGTGAAAAATCAAGTAGATTATCTTGAATTTGTCTCATTGCGAGTATTCTGCTTGAATGCAATAATTTGCATGAAAAAATCCAATTGGTGGATGTCTAGATGCCTTGCAAATAAATTTATTAGAACCAATTATCAATAGATTTCACCACAAAATTTCAATTTCTAATTCAAAGCTTTGGAATATGAAAAAGAAAAGCTTTAAATTAGGTTCATACAATACTAAACAAGAAAATTTTAGTGAAGCACTGAATTAATTTTCATGAAAACCTCACCATGTAATATACTTAAATGCAAACTTATAAGATTTGCAAACAATATGAAAAAAAGCCCCTAGCATTAACAAAATTAAATCTTTATTGTAATAGTCAAGCCCTAATAAAGCAATGATCTTCTTGCAAGTAGAAGATCTCCCTTATAGCAGACTAGATGGTAAATGCAATAGCCTTGACTAAAATCCTAGATATTTATTGTAATGCCAAATTTGTTTATGTTTACCTCTAGAATTTCTTTCTTCTAGCGCACCGTAGGTTTAGGTTTAGTCTGGGTGAGAGGTGGGAGGGGGGAGGATGGGGGAGAGAGAGTTGAGTGGTTGAATGTCGTCTGGGAGAAAGTGTGGGAATTAAATAGATAGAGAATGGTTACGAAGAAAGAAAGGGAAGTTTTGTGTATTTTTTTTGGATGAAGATCAAAATTTATGAATATTGAAAGGGTTTGGGGTTAGGTAAGATAAAGGGAGGGTTTACACTTTTTTTTACAGACAGAGAGGAGATGGTAGGAAGTAGGAAAGAAAGTAGTGAGATGATCGAATTGTGGCTACATTTTTTTGAGAATTGGTGAGGGGAACAAAAATCTTGGAGAGAGAAAATGGGATGGCATATTAAGAGGGGATTGGGAAATTGAATTTTGGGCACTTAGGAATGCTCCTAAGTTTGAGAAATATATATTTTTTAATTTCTCTCGATTTAAAATTCAATGGATATTTCAATTGTGTATATATATATTTCCTTTTTTTAATTTCTGATATATTTTGTCTTCATTTTTTTTACTTTTTTGAAATTTTCTTTTTTAATTTTTGATTGGGGAGGTTTGGCCAGAGCTTGAAAACCGGGAGTGGATGGATGTTCAACCAGGGGAAAATTAGGAGTTGGAGTTTTACACTTGAAAATTTTATAAACAAATGTCGAGGTTGCCATAGCTTGTTCCAATACCTGAATTGACGGAGGACTTATTGGATTTTCCTTGGTGAATTGGACAAGGGGGAGGGTAGGATCAGGATTTAAACCCTTTTTTTGTGGAGTTTATTGGAGAATTTATGCTTAAGAAATCATGATGAGAGATAATGGACACTCAATCAGTATAATTATATGGTACCATATTTGGGAAGAGGGGTAGAGGAAGATGAATTTTGCGTACACAATTTGGATCAATTGGAGAAAGGGAAGCCAACTGTCAACGGCACTCATAAATTATCAATTATTCATTTATCAGTAGAAATCTATTAAAGTTCATACAACAGGTCTTATGTTTGATGAAATAAAAGCCTTAAAATGAATGTGGTTATACTTTTAATACAATAGTAATGGTATTACAGTTGGATTATTCAATGGAAGTTTGTGCTTACAGAGGTATGCGTTATTTAGGATTTGGTTATAATAAGTATATGCAGCATAATATTCCATGTTAATTAGTCATGTTTACTTTTACCAATTACCATTAATGTTCTATTTTCTTTTGGATGCATACACTTATTATGATTAGATTGTATGAAAATATTGCATGCTTGGTAATATATTTTAGCATGTTTCGAAAGCAGATGCTCCCGGAGCACCTAGGCAATGGTGGTTTGGAGGTGGCACTGATTTGACTCCTGCATATATATTTGAGGAGGATGTTAAGCACTTCCATCAGGTATTATTCAAAGTCAATTAGTAGATTTTTATGTTTCCGGAGTTCTCTATGAAAAGATGCCTTTATGGTAGGGTTCAGTGTTATATCTTCCCAGTGTTCACCTGAGATTTAGCATCTTTGCAATAATTTGCATGAACGTCAGTTGTAGATCATTTGTACCTATAGTCCTGACGTTTGCAGTCATGAATCATAATGACTTTTCTCCTTTTGAACTGCAGTCATGTATTTTTTGGTCAGCTTAGTGAATCTTATTGTGATATAGATATACAAAATGCAGTAAGTTTAAATATAGACATTAAGTGACATTGCTAATCTCTAATATTTCTCTTCATGCAGGTTCAGAAACAAGCATGTGACAAATTTGATCCAAGTTTCTATCCGAGATTCAAAAAGTGGTGTGATGATTATTTTCTCATTAAGGTGAATCTGCAATGCAGACCAAAAATTATTGGTCGTGTTCTTCTGTTGTTTGTCTTCATCGTCATATATCATATTCAGATACACTGTATTCATGGTTTAGCGGAGTTTTATTGGACTAAATGCTACTCTTATACTTCAAGTTATGGGTATTTCCAACACTGACGCTTGATACAATTAGCTTAGTAGTGCTTTTATTGTTTGTATGCATGGCTATGCTTTCAGTTGTTGTAGCTAGAGAAATTGCATATCAACTGTTTTACTTTTATCTAATTCATTCTCAAAATATTCCTTTTAGGTTATAGAATTCCTAGATATTTACTTTAATACCATTCTTATTAGTTATAATATGAAATTGTTCTAGGATGATGGACTTAGGGTTAATGGAACAAATACAGAATGTGAGCCACAATTTTAGTGCAAGCGAAGTTTTTAATTATTAATCAATATTATGATGATTAAATTACATCTCGTGATTGGCTTAATCATCTTTGATTTATTATATATAAGAATGGAAATGTAAAATATGATATTACTTCTAGAGTTAAAGTTGGATGATTAAAACTTATTAATCATTTCACAGGTGTCAGATGAGAAGAGAAAGTATTGTTAATGAAATGCAAATTTAATCAAAATGCAAATTAACCAAATGCTATTTGGATTCGACTGTAAAGAAGTCACCAATTGCTAAGTCAAGTGTACCAAATGAGAATATTATGATGATTGTGTAGAAAAAAATAAGAACTATAGAATATTAGTGTCATTTAAGAGTTGTTCATGTTGAAGAGAAGATGACGGAAGCAAGTTTAACTGTTTAGGCATGTACAATGAATTGTAAGAAATGCAATGATAAGACATGCTATATGATATTAAGATTTTTGCTTAAATTATTGATGCAAGATGATCTAAAAGAAATTAGAAACGATAATAGAGAAGATGGAACTCATAAAAAGATTAATATATATGAAGAGATAAGAAAGTATCAAACTTGTATGGTAAGATTATTTCTTATGGAATTCTTTATTCTTACACTTGTTCAAAGATAAAAAAAAACTTTGTTAGAAATCATGTTTTGAAAAACAATGAAGTTTGTTAAATCCATTATTTGGTTTGATTTCATGTAGTTAGACACCCACACTGATTTCAAACTCTACAAATTTCTCAAAGCTTCTTCAAAAGAAATGTTATAATTTTGATACTCATAATGAGTGAAAACAAAATCATTGTTCTCTAAATTCTTTTTCTATATTTGCAAGCAACTAAATTTCATGAAGGATACATCAAACTACGAGCAAATTGTTAATAAACTAGTAAAATGTTAATAAAATTATCAATGAACTTAATGACATTGGCTACAATAACTCTTACATCATAACAAAATATAATTAGCAACAAGTAATGTGAATATCCATATCAAAATAAAAAAAAATGTTAAATTTAGAGAATTGGAGAGGAAAAATGCTTAAGTTTAATATACAAAACTATCGCTATTTATAGATCTATACATGATGTCTTAATAAAGAAACAAATAACTACAGAATCATGCATAATTGACTCAATATAATCCTTTCTAAATCAGCCACCCGAATATGGAAGGAGATCGGCGTGATCTAGGTGAGCCTCCCACGGATCCCTTGCTGGCCGTGGGATCAAGGCCAAGGAACGATTGAGAATTAACAATGTGATCTAGGTGAGCCTCCCATGGATCCCCATGCTGGCCGTGGGATCAAGGGCCAAGGGATGGCTATGATTTAACAAAACTCAAAACTCAAAACTCAGTTACATTGGCTAGAATAGCCTTTATAGGACTCTTAATTCTCATATTTATAAATCAAACAACAACAACAACAACAACATCAAGCCTTTATCCCACTACGTGGGGTCGGCTACATGAATCCTTTTTCTCCTTTGTGTCCTATTAAAAGTCAAATTCTCGTTTAAATCTAATAAAGAAAGGTCATTCCTAATTTTTGGATCGTCCCGTACGATCGTGGATCGTCCCGTACGATCGTGGATCGTCCCGTACGATCGTGGATCGTCCTGGACGATTTTACTTAAACAATTTGAAACGACCGTATTTGTATATGTGTACGAAATGTCTTCGTACAGATGATCGTCCCGTACGAACTATATTCGTCCGGTACGAACTGTTATTACAAGAAGGGTTCTAGAAACTGCAGAAAACTGTTCTAAGTCGGTTAATCGTCTGAACTAAAATTTGTTCGTCTGGACGAAACTTTTACAGAGGACCAATCGTAATGTACGATAATTAATTTCGTCTGGACAAAAAATTTACAGAGACCAGATCGTCCTGGACGAAAATTAATTTCGTCTGGACAAAAATTTACAAAGGACCAATCGTTCTTTACGATAATTAATTTCATCTAGACGAAAATTTTACAGAGACCAGATCATCTTGGACGATAATTAATTTCATCTGGACAAAAATGTTACAGAGGACCAATCGTCATGTATGATAATTAATTTTGTCTGGACGAAAATTTTACAGAGACCAGATCATCCTGGACGATAATTAATTTCGTCCTGGACGAATAGGACTTAGAAAAATTTCTCAAGCCAGTTCCTATTCGTTCCATGTGCTCAATAGGAGATAACTGTTTGATCGTCCCGTACGAGCTGATATCATCTCGTACGATCAGTATAAATTATATATGATCTCCTTATGTGTGTGTGTATGTTTTTATTCACTCAAATTACAATCACTCCCTTTCAATTTTGATTCAAAGAAAAGTACAAGCTTCAAATTTATAAAGTATTTCATGCTGAAATTGATTTGAAGTCTTCAAAGTCTGGAGTTTTATTTTCCTGAAATATTAGTACACACAAGAGCAAATACGAATCTTCTAAAATTGTTAGGAGATAACTACATATTTGAACAATAATATTTGGAATCATCAAAACTACATAAGTTGCAAAAATATAAAGTGTGCAAATAGCAACTAACTTAACATAAATATCATCCCATGCAATGATTGGGTCATACAGTATAATTGGTAAAATCATCCAGTATGATTTGATTGGAATAATTAATCCATATTTGATCCCAAAATTATAAGATTAATTTAGGCAAGATTTGATTATATCAAAATATTGTCTAAATTATTATTGTCGACTAAGATCTTAATTTTAACATATCAACCTGTTTGATCCTGATCATATAATATGATGAGTTCAAATAACTTTAATTATACTAATTAGCTATTATAATGATTTTCTAAATAGAGTATCATACAATACAATATATATTATACCGTACGATTAGTTCAAAAAAAATATACTTATAATTTTCTCACCATCTTGAAAGTTTATGAAGGTTGCTAAATCTCAAAGAACCAGCCTGAGACCAATGAAGAGGGTGGTGAATTGGTTATTTAAAAATTTCATTAACAAAAATAAAATCTTTTCATAACTTTTTCATTATCTAAAAATAGACAATTTTATCACCCGATGCTAATGCAAATTAATTTATCAATAACAAAAAAAAATAGAGTTTTCAACCACATAATTAATCATATAAAGTTAATGTTCTTAATATATTAAGAACAAACACACCAGAATTTATAGTGGTTTAATCGAACTTGACCTATGTGCACTCCCCAAAAACCTCCATTCTAGGTATTGTATTAAATTAGTGTCTCTCCTTTTACATTCATAGCAAGGAAGAGAATCCCTTAAAAAATCACTTTCACCATCCTAGTGCGGCAAAAAACCAGAAGCGTTTCATACCCTCTAAGTGACGTCACCGTACCTTAAAGCTTTTTCTCCTTCTAGGAGAAGGCGAAATGCCTTAAATCCTTTTTCACCCTCTAGGTGATGGCAGAGAACTATGGCCTAGTACAATAGAATGTCTCCCTAGAGCCACCAAAGAATCAAGGAACAAGTTTGAAGAATACAGGCAAGAAACTTTCTTGGAGTAACGTTGTGAATCCCTCACAACTCTCCCTCATAAAAACTCTTCCTCTATTCTCTCCTAGAGCTCTCCTAAACTCTTTCTCTATACTACCTCTTAGGACAAAAAGATTTTCAAAAGAGAACCATGTGAGATTTTAAATTAAAATCATCTTAAGAAGCCTTAATTTCAATTCTAGCATTTAATATCACCCAGTATCATCCTACGATCATCATGTACGATTAGTACAAAATAGCCCTTTTAGAAAGTAAGAACTGTATTGTCTTGTATGATCAGTTCAAGAGTTTTGTTGATCATCTAATATGATAAGAAATGATAAAACATCATCCCATACATTACTCAGTTTATACAGTAAAAATTTTGGGGGTCGTCCTACACAATTAGTTGAAAAACTAAGGTATTTCATCTTGTAGGATGGACGACGATAAATTATCATCCCATACAATGTTTTCGTCGAACAATACAATTATCATTAATTATCTTATATGATTTGTTTGAACAAATTAATCATAATTATTCCCCTAATCACAACATGAATTTTGGCAAAATTGTCATATATCGTACAGTACAATGTGTATCATACGGTATGATTAGAACAAAATTTGAATTTTATAATATTGTCAAAATTCTTATTTGCATCTATTTTCATAAGTATAATTGATTATCCTCCTGTATGATAAAGATTATCCAGTACAATTAGATTAATCAATCTCAACTAGTACAATTGCCCTAACTAATAATTTTTTGGGTTAACTAATTATCCAGTATGATGTAAATTGTAAAGTATGATTAGTTCAAAATACTCATATTCTTCCTAACTCACTAACTCACCCCCTCTTGAGTGTGTGTATAGAAGGTTACTCAACTTTAGGATTAACCAAAATATATGATTGACTCAAGAAAGATAAAAAGTATATAAATACTAAAAATATAGACTTTAATCTTAACCTACCCAATCTTGATCTGATCAAATTTGTAAGTGAATAGTGAGCTTTAAATGTTAGTGAGCATGGAAAACTAGATATGAAATAAACTTAATTATCAAGAGATAGCAAAGAAATCCAATAATGTTTGTTATCATCAAAATCACAAGACTTGGGTCCAAATTTGGAACAATCTTCTCCTTTTTTATGATGGTAATCATTAATAGTGAATGTTTCAAAAGTCCTTTGCTATTCCCTAAGCTCACCCTTACTAAGTAGATTCTCTTAAACATTGGGATGGGTTATCTTTTTTGTAGTAAAATTAC